CCTTAATAATATAGAAAACAAAATTTTACACAAAGATAACATTAACAATAATAATATAGTCCTGTGGCTCAGATATGTTGATGATATTTTGATAATTTGCGATGAGGACGGATTCAATTTGATAGATGATTTCCATAAATACATTAATAACCTCCATAAAAATCATAAATTTACTATAAATTGAAAAACATAAACAACTAAACTTCTTAGATCTCACCTNTGTGGTGTGTATATTTAAAAACTGGCACATATGTAGTCATAAGGTTTAGAGTAGAGCAGTTTAAAAAAACCGTTGGATTAAGTGTAACCGTTGGATAATAAAGAGTTGTTTAGCCATTCAGAGGAGTGTGTTTAAATAGTTAACATACCCATAGCTACTGGGATTAATTCAGCTTTGTTTTAGGAATTAGGTAAGGCGGCAGCACATTTAAAATCAGCAGAACGACTTTGCGTCTTAATGTTTGATGAGGTGGCACTCAAACCACATCTTGAATATAATAAGCACTGTGATAACATTAATGTTTTAGAAAATGATAAAATTGTAGATCATGCCCTAGCTTTCATGGTACATGGGGTTGTGGGAAAATGGAACCAAACAATTGCGTATTTTTTTGTAAAGGAACGACAAAGGCTGAAGAATTAAAAAAATATTTAAAAGAAATCATAGGGAAATTAAATGATTCCAATTTGAGAGTTATAGCGATAGTGTGTGACCAGGCGTCCACAAAGAGGACTGCAATAGAAGATAAGAACTTAAAGAAATATTATGTATAATACCCTAATTATATTTTTTATTATTGTAGGTCTCATCGGAGAAGACCGATTTAAATATTTAAGAAATAATGAAATCCCGAAAAAAAGAATAAATATTGGAACGTCAAATTTGGCGCCCGAGCAGGGACCGTTTTCCGAAGATAAGGAAGAGAAGCAGTAACACCGTTATTTTTGTTTTCTCTTTTATAAATTTATTATTTTCCGAGTTAGAAGTAGAATTAGAAAAATTCTGCCTGGCCAAGACTGGAACTGTAGACGAAATGCGAAAGAGGTTGGCAAAATTCATTAAGGAAGGAAGAAGAACACCACAAGTACAACGGGAACCGACTCCTTTTCTATTTCCCACAATTATAACCGAAAAACCTAGAAGACCGATAAATTACAAACCTCCCGATTTCCAGCATCGTTCTTCCTGACATCCACCGTCACCACACAACCATACCGATTTAACCATTTCACATCGTGCCAATCTCCGCCTAAACCGATGGAATATCTCCTTCCAAGGACTGTTTGATGAACCGATTGCTTTCCTAGAAAAGGTGGAAGAGACCTGTGCCGCACAAGGAATTCCCTTAGATGAACTGCTTCCCAGAATGCCCGAACTGTTACGCGGAGAAGCCGCGTTGTGGTTTAGAAATAACCGACGATTCTGGAGAACCTGGGATCAATTTTCCGCAGATTTTAAGACGATGTACTTTCCTGTAAATTACCAAGAAGACCTGGAGGCGGAAATTGCGAGACCGTTGGGGATATACATAACCGAAGTCCAGACTTTGATTCGTCGTCACGGAAATATCTGTCCTGCTAACAAATTACAATGGCTTTACCGAAACCTTCTCCCTCAATACCGGCAATTTAATAGAAGAACAGTTCTTCATCAGTTCTACGACAGTTTTCAACAGTCCGTAACAGCCTTGATTACTTCCGAAGACATCCGCTAATTTTCTTAGAAATACCCGTATTTCAATTTTACCGTAAGTCCGATTTATTTTGAAAGACTTTGATTTTATTTTTGCTAACTTTCATTAATTTTTGTACATTTTGTCCCAACCTTCTTCGAGTACTACCTATACCTCCGCCTCATTTTTTTTGTTTGTTTCATTTAAACTCATTTATTTTAAAATCAAAGTCTTGTCAATTTATTCCCACCGTCCCCATTCTCCGACCGTAGTTAAAAATTAATAAACTGCTCTCCTATTTGATTATTTTATTGTTAATAAAGTTTATAGTTATTTGTTTTCCGAATTTTGTTGTTTTCTTCTTTCCCTTACCGAATCCCTGAATCTCCGACTGTAACCCCCAAAAGCTACTTGGAGGCGAAAGAGTTCTTTAACTCTCTAAACATAAGGTGGCGCCCGAGACCGTTAACATCCCGAACACCAAGGGATGTGTCAAGGGCACCAAGACCAGTTACCAGGAAAGGATGTCACAAATTTGGCAAAGACGCATACCCGTTACCGTTCATTAATGCCATACTCGATAAACTCCGCTACGCTAAATACATCTCCTGTATCGACCTGAAACAAGGATACTGGCAGCTGGCATTAACAGCCGAATGTCGACCAATTACCGCATTCACTGTATCAGGAAGAGGACTGTATCAATTTCGAGTAATGCCGTTTGGACTCCACGCCGCTCCGGCTACTTTTCAACGTTTAATGGACCGGATCATAGGGCCAGAACTAGATCCGTTTTGTTTCGCCTATTTAGTCGACACAATTGTTCTGGGACAAACTTTATTTACTTATTAATTAATTTTGACTTATTTATTAATTAAACGAGCATTTACAAAACCTCCGACACGTGTTTGATAGACTGATTCAAGCAAATCTCCGAATAAATCCCGAAAAGTGCGAATTTGGGAAGAAATCTTTGCGCTATTTGGGACATATTGTAACTAATCAAGGAATCCGGACCGATCCCGAAAAGATAGCCGCAATTAAAGCTATCTCCGTTCCGACTACTGTTCGTAGTTTACGAAGATTTTTAGGAATTGCCTCCTGGTATCGCCGATTCATACCGAATTTCTCTAGGATATCAGCTCCGTTAAACCAACTACTGAAAAAGAAAGAACGATGGAGTTGGACCGAAGAACAGGAAACCGCTCTGAAATCCGCTCTTACCGATACTCCTGTGTTAAAGTGTCCTGATTTCAGTAAGAAATTTACGCTCCAGACCGACGCTTCTAACCAGGGACTCGGAGCAGCGTTAACCCAACCCAGCGGGGATGGAGGAGAACATGTGATTGCCTATGCCAGCCGCTCTTTAAACGAAACCGAACAATCATACTCCGTAACAGAAAAAGAATGTTTAGCCATAGTCTGGGGCATAGAGAAAATGAGACCATATCTTGAAGGATATAAATTTACCGTAATAACAGACCATCAATCCCTCAGATGGTTACATTCGATAAAAAGTCCGTCAGGAAAAATAGCTAGATGGGCTATATACCTGCAACAATTTGACTTTGATGTCAAATACCGAAAGGGAGTATTAAATAAAATTGCTGATGCATTATCCCGAGCTCCGTTAACCACCGACTCAGCAATCATTAACACCGAAGAGGCAGAGAACTGTAAATGGTACTCAAGGAAGAAATCCGAAGTTAAGAAAAATCCAAAACTGTATCCGGACTATTGCATTAAAAACGGGAGACTCTACCGACATTTTTGGAATACACTAGCCTTTAATGAGATGGAGATGACCGACCCGTGGAAACTTTGTTTTCCGAAATCATTACGACACCAGATTCTTCAGGAAAATCACGATTCACCGACGGCAGGACATCTGGGAATTGCTAAAACGGCTACTAAGATCGCCCAACGACATTACTGGCCGGGAATTTTCCGAGACATCGCGAAATATGTTAGAAGTTGTAAGTCGTGTCAACGATATAAGACGTCACAACAACAGAAGCCGGGAAAAATGCAACCGTACCCAAATAACCGTCCATGGGAAATAGTAAGCAACGATTTAGTAGGCCCGTTACCGCGATCAAAAAAAGAAATTGCTATCTAGTAGTCTTTCTAGCTCGTTTCACCAAGTGGGTAGAGTGCCGACCTCTACGAAGCGCGACAGCAAAGGCAGTGTCCAAACCACTGTATGAAACCGTAATAACAAAGTTTGGATGTCCAAAGACCGTTATAACCGATAATGGAACACAATTCACCGGACAGCCATTTCAAGAGTTATTTGGATGATCTTGGAATTCATCACCGTCCGACTCCACCGTATACTCCGCAAGCAAATCCCGTTGAACGGACCAACCGAACGATTAAAACCATGATCGCACAATTTTGTGAAGAGAATCACAAATTGTGGGATAAATTTTTACCCTATTCGGTCTTCGCAATCAATACTTTACATGCCTCAAAACTTCAGAAAATGAAGGACATTACCGATTTTGTCCGAATGAGGATAGCCCGAGGGTTTAACGAACAAAGCCATCATTATAACTTCCGAAGACGAGACTGGCGACCGAAATTAAAAGAACTAGTGATGAAGAGAGAACATCATCTCTCGTCGCAACAGAAAGGTTTTGCGGCGAAACTAGCTCCGAAATATTCCGGTCCCTATGTGGTGTCTCGCATCCTATCACCCGTTGTATATGAAGTCCAAAATGTCCGTGGAAACCGATCCTACCGAGTCCATGTCAAAGATCTAAAACCGAATATTTACCGTACTCTAGATGCCGAAAAGGGTACAACGACCAAAAGGCGAGCCGCAATTTGCTATGGATCCGACCAGAGGGAAGAGAGGGCCAAGGAGATCGCCAAAGAGCTCCAGGGAAGAATCGAGGCCAAGAGGTGGAAGAGGGTGATAATGCCGTGTCAAATATTACTCTCACAGTTAAATTTGAACGGCACAGAGCCATTTGAACCTTCTCCGCCAACTTCTAATACCGATTTAAATGCCCTGAGCACTCCCTCCTCTAAAGATAACCCGACCGAACAAAACACCGAACCGAAAGAGACCCCGATAACTGATGCGGATTTGGCGGAGGCGAACCTCTGACTCCCGGCTATACCAATGCGCTGCAAAGGTTCAGACCGGAGGGTAAGACAGGAAAAATTCGGCAGCTTCTAACAGCCCGGGATGGCCGAACCGTCAGAGCCACCGTTCCCCGTTAATTACCGTAATATAATCAGTCTTCTTAATATTACAGTCTTCCCTATAAAATAATTTGCCTTGAAATTATGAGTAATAACTTTTCTCTTCTACAGAACATGTCAGATATGGACATAGACATCGTGTCATTAGGGTCCTGGGAGGACTTTAATTTCGGGGAAGAAGACAGTACCATGGAACCGACAACAGAGAACCTCTCTGGCGAACCGACAACAGAGAACATCTCTGACGAACCGACAACAGAGAACATCTCTGGCGAATCGACAACAGAGAACATATCCGACGAACCGACAACAGAGAACATCTCTGGCGAATCGACAACAGAGAACATCTCTGGCGAACCGACAACAAAGAACATCTCTGACGAACCGACAACAGAGAACATCTCCGACGAACCGACAACAGAGAATACCGCAAACAACAGCAAACAATATAAAGACTTCGGCACGCAAACTGATGAAGTGATACCGCCACTCTGGGAAATTCTAGATGTGCTAGGGATGTCTCTAAATAAGCGACTGAAAGAGAATCCCGAAAAACCGATACCGCCAAAACAACCAGAATCACCGAGGGCGGTAATTAAAGTCGGTGGGAAAACTGCCAGTTCAAACCAATTCTCTTCTGCTCGAGCACCTATTGCAGCTCCTGCAAAGTATGGAGAATACCGACACCCACCGACCAGAAAGACTAAAAAAAAATTATTTTTTTTTGGGACATAGTCGTCCGTAATTTTTATTTCCTTTTAATTTTCCTTTGGGTTTAGATAACCGCATTCATTTTTTTCCGTTTTTTTTGTATTTTGAGGTCTTATTCCCTGAATTTTGTTTTATTTATTTTAATAACCGAATGATTCATTATTTTATCTTTTTCATTTCCGAGAATTTATCATTTTCTTTTGAATTCTGACCGTACCGCCAGACGGTTAGATTCACTAACTAAGTTCCAGCGTTAAAGAAGAAAAAAAGCGCTTACTTTTTTTTACCGAACAAAAGGGGGTGTGTAACGAAGTTACATTATTTTTATTTTTCAAAAACTAAAAATCTTAAATTCCAACAACGTTTCCTGACCGAATCATCAATAAATGAAAGTAATTAATAAAATTGCTGAATCACGAAAACATGTGCTCTCCGAAAAATTATTATCAAATAATTAAATAATTCCGAAATTAACAAGATACGACAAGCAACATGTTCCTATAAGTCCAGCCGACCGTCCCGAGGAAGTTTCAGCAGCTAGCGAGCTACCGTCGAGCTACCGTATAGCGACTATTTTTTTATGATGCGGAATTAGAAGTCATAGAACGATCAAACCAATTTCAAACATTTACAAATGTCATGAAATAACCGTTGAACGATTTTAAAATCGAAAAATCGCCGAAAAGCCGAAAATCATCCCGCATCATAATTAATTAAATTACTCCGTTCCTGATGGTCATCCGTGAAAAATATTGCCCATGTAGAATTGCCCCGAACATCGCCCAACTGCTGGAATTGTTTTGTGTTAAGGTGCGCGTAAATTAATACCGATTAATTGGTTTTAACGTGAAACACGTGGTCGCGAAAACGTTTGTGAATATAAGTGCCGTAAACACTGGCCGGTTTTGTTAACAATATTTTTGTGATTTTCCGTATAAGTAAGGGTATCTTTTGATTTGTGTTATAAATTTTACCGTTAATTATTGTTGATTAATTGTTAATTACTCCACCGTTCCTTAGCCGATTTTATCCGTTCAAAGACTGTAATTATGTAATTTTGTGTCCCGCATCCGATAGCGCCGTCAGAATTTTGCTATTTTTGTTAATTAGCGCCGCGCATTGTAAATTAGTCTTTAATAACTTGTACTGATACGATCCCCCACGCGGAAAAATCCAGTTTTCGCCCCAAAATGGTATAAGTAGCCGGCCAAAATTCTGATTTTTAACAGTTCTTCATCAGTGCTACGACAGTTTTCAACAGTCCGCAACAGCCTTGATTAGTTCCGAAGACATCCGCTAATTTTCTTAGAAATACCCGTATTTCAATTTTACCGTAAGTCCGAATCCCTGAATCTCCGACTGTAACCCCCAAAAGCTACTTGCAGGCGAAAGAGTTCCTTAACTGTCTAAACATAAGGTGGTGCCCGAGACCGTTAACGTCCCGAAGATATAAAAGGGCACCAAGACCCCTAAACTCCTAAACTTCCTAAACTTCCTAAACTCGTTACCAGGAAAGGACATCACAGAAGTAATGAAATCATTCTGTTGAACTGAAGAAAAACCTGGTCTGGGAGAAAGATGGGCAACTATTAACCGCCGAAAGTGATGTCGAAAAAGCCGATGATATAGACTCTGGTAGCGGCGAATTTAGGTTATTACCTAAAATTACGGATTTTCATATTCGACTAAATAAAATGAAAGTGTCCTGTGCTCCCCAGGTTTTCAGCCACACAATAGCTGCCGCTATAGCGTATATGTCCAAAACAAGTATGTAATAATTTACATTATAAATTAAAATAAATTATTTTTTAACCCTCTTTTTTAATAAGTATGTATTTTTTAGACAGCAACAGACGTCACTGATGTTACGCGCTAGACGCCACTGATGTTACGGGCGAAATAATAATGGAAACACGCGCACATGACACAGCAAGCATATTAAAATATTTTGATGGGCTGTTTGACAGCCTTAATGGAGGATGCCGTAGACCACCTCTTGGTAAACCCCTCCGTGGTGCGGTTTCCCAAAAATCGAACCATATTACATTTTGGAATGAGTCAAGAGGTAATTATTGCACATTAGTGTGTTACGCAAAACAGTAAACAGCATTATGAATAAGATTTCTCTTTGATAATAATTATCGAATATATTTTAATTCAATTATAGATTTTATAGATATGCTTCAATAAATGTATTTTCAAAAAGAGGGGTCCACGGAAAAAGCGGTACCTCCCAGTTTAAAAAATTTTATATTGAATGTCAGCGGTTTTATTGATTTAACGCACGAACTCTTGACACGGGGTTTAACCTATTATTTTCCCCGTACATTAAACCAAGATCCACTCGAAAATTATTTCGGACAGGTGCGTCAACACAGAGTCCGAAACAATAACCCAACTGCAAAACAATTTGGGGAAACATTTAAAACGTTGTTAGTGAGGAAGATAGTGAGTACACATTCGGTGGGGGCAAACTGTGAAGAGGACTTTGATTGCTCGTTGTTACAATTACGGCAATTTGTTATGACCAGCAAGGAACCGAGCATGAGTGTAGAAATTGTAGAGAGTGAGGCTGTAAACCAATGTATATATAGAAGAGAAATTGTTATTGGTAGACCAATTGATAATACAGCAATTGGCTATATTGCCAGTTTCATTGCAAAAAAAACTTTTAAACATATTTGAATGCAATTGTTGCAGATTGCATATTATTAATAAACATGAAACAAAATCTAAATATTACGACTTTATAAAAGAAAAAGAATATCATGCTTATAGATGTTTACTATATTGTCAAGATACTTTTATTGAAGCGTTGGTAAAATGTTATAACATTTCAAAAATGTTATTCTTAAAATATAAATTTAATAATAATATTCAGCGTACTATTGTTTTATATTTAAAAAAACATGTTACATTTACATTTATGTGTGAGCATAAGTGTGAAATTTTTAATTACATAATATATTAGATAACATTGTAACTATTACCATACAATGCCTGTGTACCGGATTAAATCGCATTATGTGTGGAAACGATACAAGGCAATTTTTCTATAGACTTGTATAGACAGGCGCGGCTTATACAGGGTGTTCCATCTCAGACGAGCCACCCCTTATATTTCTTATCCCATAGTGATTAGAAAAGTTTCCCGAAACCCGTCGAATGATTTTGTTTAGGGGTCATCTTTTGACGTCATTTGAGGCTTGAACGAGCAACCCCCTAAGAGGGGGTGCTTCAACCCCTCAAAATTGAATAGGGGAGAG